TTCTTTTATTCTATTCTCACAGTTTAATGAACACTGAACAGTTTTCATTAGAAAAGATAATAGGTGTTTGCTGAGCCCTCAAACCATTCATTTAACAAATTAAGACAGTTTAATTACACTAGCAATTACTCCTGAGATAGTGCTTTTATAACATTTTAAGAGGTCAGAAATTCTTCACAAAAACGTAAATTTAGCTCCCAAAATGTTCCTTGGAATTAATATCATATGTTCAAATTGTATTTTCAAGGTTACTTTCATATCATTATTTCATCAACTGATCCTAACCAAAAATTTGGGGGTAACTAATCCTTATTCTTTGTAGGTAAGAATCTGAGAATAAAGCACAGAGTGCTGGGTGGAAATAATGACTGCATTTGCATCCACTGTTTATTTAGAAGTGTATTTCTTGATTTCCAAATGTTCAGAAAATTTTTAAAGTTTCCTTTTGTTTTTCAAAAATTATATTGTGTGTTTGAAAATCATACATACTGTGGAGTTGCTAGATGCGATATTCTACATAAATCAATTAAGTCAAGTTTGCTGACTGCATTGTTAGTCTAAAAATCAGCAAGATAAAGATTTTAGCTATCTCTTCTATCAGTGATCGAGTAAGGAATATTATAAATTATCACTTTCTTTTGCTCCAAAGAATGGGGAAAAACATCTGCAAATCACATACCCATCAAAAAAGTGTATCTAGAATATATAGAGAGTTCTTTAAAAAAAAGGGGGGGTAAGAAAAGAAACAAATAATGGGCAAAATATTTGAACAGCTTATTCATCAAAGAAGATATGATGCTCAACATCATTAGTCAACAGAGATACAAAGTAAATACATGCTGAGATGAAACACATCTATTAGAGAAGCTTGAAAAAAACAAAACAAAACAAAACAAAACAGACAATGTCAAAATAGGATGTGAACTGGAACTTGCACAATATTGCGAGTAAGGATACAAAGTTGTTCAGTCACTTTGGAAAACAGTTTGGCAGTTTCATGTAAAGCTAAATACACACTTACCATATGACCCAGCCATCCCACTCTGGGGTTTTTACCCTACAGAAATGAGAACTTAAATCCACAAAAAAAAAACTGGAAATGATTTTTCTGCAGTGGTCTATTAATAAAAAAAAAAAAAACAAAAAACAACCACAAACAATCCAGATGTTCTTCCATGGGTGAATAAACAAACAACAACAAAAAAGGAATGAACTATTGAAATACACAATAACTTGGATAAATCTCAAATGCATTACTGTAAAAAGCCAGTCTCAGAAGGTTACATAATATAGGATTCCATTTGTAAGACATTTTGGAAAAGACAAAAATTTAGAGTCAGAAAATAGAACCAGTTGCCAGGGATTAGGGGGAAGTGTAAAATTAGATTACAAAGGAGCAGAGCAGAATGGAGTCGCCGGAGCCAAGCGCAGACGAGAGGCCCACGGAAGAGGGTAGGAAGGGCGGCGAGGCGGTGCGCGCTCCACGGACTGGCGGGAGGGAGCTGGGGCGGAGGGGCGGCTCGCCGGCCAAGCAGAGCCCGCGAGTCTGGCTTGCAAAAAGCGGAGGGGCCTGACGGACTGTGTTCCGACAGCAAGAGCGACTTAGCGTCTGGGAGGTCATAAGTTAACAGCTCTGCTCAGAAAG